ATTTAAGGAAATCGTGTGAACACGGACCTTCGGTTTGATTAATTTATTACTTTGATTCTCCATTATTTTATCCTACAAGAAATTGCAAAACCCAACCTAAAAAGTTGAAAGAGTTTTAACTTTGAATTCATAATGTCTGTACTGGGATGTGGGATGGTCTTGAAAACTAGGACTCATCTTTTACTGTATGTCATCTTTCAAATTGAACTATGTAAAATATAATGAATACATATTATTTTTTAATACTGTCCGAATGTAACAAACCCATGCGGGCACACTGAAACACAAATGACTACTTAAAAGCATCTCCAATACTAATATTTGTTTTACAAAAAAGGTTGTCGATGAAGTTAGTTAATGTAGAAAAGTTCATTTCTCAATGCTACACGTCTATGACTATTTTTAACGGGCATGAAAAGAAAATACAAGAACGTGAAGACTCTTCTAGATGGAGTGAGTCACCATAATTTAATATTTCTATCCTGTTTCTTTTTTTTTTTTTCCCTCCTATTAAATATGCATTAAAATAAAATTTGAGTTATAGACAAAATTCATTGAAGATGAGAATTGAACCAAGCCGTTAATTCATTAGAAAATAAGAATTATGCTAGATGTATACCCGGTTGTTTACATAATGGATTACACCCCCCTCACATAGAGGGGGGTCCACAAATATTTTATTGTATATGGGGCCCCCTCCATATGAGGGGGGTGTAATCCACTGTGTAACTCATTGTGTCCATCTAGCATCATCCAGAAAATAATGTCAAGTAGAATAGAAATCTTTCCGTGTGTCAGATATATTGCAATCCAGAATGAATTAGAAATACTCTTAAAGAACCTTGTTTAGAGGCAAGTGTTCCCAACTTGCCAACAAGTGGCCTGGAGGAATACCGAGTAAGTCAAGATCATACAATGATATTGTAGATCATTTCCTACCTCTCAATCCAGCCACACCCGCCACCTCGACAGGCACACAAATGCGTCGCCCAGTGTCTGCGTAGGGTTGTAGCATAGAGCAAAATCAAGTGATAAAGCAGTAATTTTATTCTTCATATTAAGTTGGTTCTAATAATGGGAAATCACATATTCCAAACCTGAACAGTAACAGGATCAAATTTTCATCAATCACTTTTTCAGTTTTTACAAGGAACTTCATAGAATTTGTTTATATGCACATATTCATATGGCAACGAGTGCAACGCCAATTAAATCCATCTTTTCAGGGTGGTGCTACTGTAAAGACATCTAGATGGAGCAGCAGTGTATCATGATGTTCAGTACATTTCCAGCATTCTTCCCCTTAGCATTGCTTCTGCTTTCCTAACCTGCTTCGCTGGCCCAATGATAAAAATCTGCACGAGACCCATGAAATTATAATGATCTATAGTACTCCGAAAAAAAAGTAACACCTTTGGACAAGATAACAGTTATCCATATAGGCAGGGGAAAATTCTTGCACAAACAAAATTAAATGTGATAAACTTCACAGACCCTTCTTGCTAAAACTTACCAAATTTTAGGCAAAGAAGATTTCTATTACTAAGAAATCACAAGATCTAATTTATAGCTACTCCAGTTTTTTTTTTATGCATTTTCACGTGGCTTTGTCCAGCTCAAAGTCATTTCAAGCAGATTCCTTATCAAATCAAGATTATCAAGACTCCGTGAAGACGGAATGTGAAGCAACACCAATATTTGATGTCAAAATAATAGAACCATAGAAAATTTGTCTACTTTCAGAAGTACATAATTTATTTGATGATAAAAGCAACAGTTAAGTTTGCCATCCATTATGTATCTTATAATCAAAGAAGAAATTAAGACTGGCCCATACTCTTTGTACACTGCATTCTCATTTACTTGCATTGAGGGACCCATAAAAAGAAACTTTATGCTAGGATATTCATTTCAAAGTTGGGATTCAATACTGGATCGACAAAAAGAAGGTTTGAATTAATGAGTGATAGCATTAGTAGACTCTTCAATAACAGTGAAAGCTAACCTTGTCAGGAGGACCTTTATCACCTCCAAAGAAAATTTCAGCACTGCAAATATATATATCTCAAGTAAGGAAAAGATCAAAAGAAAACCAGTCACAACAGAGAAACAGGTGCAATATACAAAGAAACAGCAATACAAATCGATTATTTTATTACTATGGTGACATTAAAACATATATTTGACCTCCTGTACTTTTGACTTTAAAAGTAGAACTCGAGAAAATTGGAGGTCAATTTGTGGCTTTAGGTAGTAATTTGGAATCCTAGAATATATATTATATGGAATACTTTCTAAACCGGATAATTATTTTAGGCAACGTATTTATTTAATAAATTCTCTAAAATTTTTTAGTTGTTTTTTTACCACTAGTTTAGACCTACATGAAAGGGGCTTATGGATTGTAATAATTTTGATATTGAATAAACTTATATTTTCTTCCTCTAAATTCTTTCTATTCTCTCAATCTTCTTCTCTTTCTCCTCTCTCTTCATCTTTCTTTCTCGATCTCGTTCTTGTTCGATTGTATTCTACGTCAATTTGGTTTGAGAGAGAGTCGTATTACTTTGACCAAACAAATTCGCGAACTTTTGATAGGTGGTCAAGTTCAAAAATTTAGCAGCGTCATGCTCCAAAAGCCTATGCCAATATTAATTCACATAATACCTAGCCACTACCTTCACTATCCTCCACATCCATAACAACCCTCAAATACACCACAAATCCACCATTAAACACCTAACCCAAATAGCAACAACAACCAACATGAAATTCTGCCTCCAACAAGCTTCTTTGTTGTTTTAGTTTATTCCTATTTGTGTAAAAAAATAAATAAATAAATAAGAGAGAGAGAACTGCTATACCATCTTACTTTTATTCTTTGTGTTTGTTGCTTCTGTGCTCTAAAAATATTAATATTGTTCATAGGTTTTGTTCAGGAGCAACTGTTCATCAATATTGTTCACCAGCTAGAGTTCATCCGAAAAAAATATATTTTTTCTGTCGCGAGGATTGTCAACCGGTTAAGTATAATTTTAGATTAGATTGATTTTTTCACTATTATTCATAGTTTCCAAAAACGGGAAAAAAAAATGAGGAATTGAAAGAATATCGGCCGACAAGCATTTGTTTCTGCTATCATTGTTTTAGATTGTTATTAGTTATTGAAAAAAAAAGGATCAAAAAAATTATTATATTCATATCTACAGGTTTTAGTAGAAGCACGAATTCTCCTCCTATCCAGCTCAAACAAGCCTTCTCGGTAGCTTACTTCCCTCGGTTTGCGGACTGCTTTCATTATTAATGAAGGATTATCTGATTTTAGAATGGGAGGAGTGCGCACACATAGCAATGATTCAGAATTGGGTTGCTCCTATTAGACTCTTGGTCACGTATCAATTATGTTCTATTGAAACCTCAATTTTCATTCAAGTACTTGGCCTTTTATTAGAAATATAGTCCCTATCTGGTAGACATTAAAATTTAGATTTTAATTTAAGTCAAAGTCAACAATTAATTTTAATCACACATTTCATAGGATCCACAACTTTTCAACCACACATTTATCAAAATCTACTAAAATCTAATTTTCATCACCATCAAACAGGGGCATTGGTCTCAAATAAGCTATGAAAACACGTTCATATGTTGTCATACAAGTGGCAATTCCTTCTTTCCTAAGCGAAACATTTCAAATTACTACACTCATGATGAGAGAATGCAGGATATCTTCCCATTAAAAGTGTCATCATCACTTGCATTCTCTTACAAATCCATCAAATTGTATGATGAGGGAGCTAAAATACTTGAAACTATGAATAATGTAAGATACTGTGTCATCTTGTTGGATCTAGAATGTAAACAATTAATAATTGACATGTTCCAACATTTTCTTTTGGCTCCAAAGAGAAAATCATCTAGCAACTCTCTTCACTTCCAAAGAGATAACTAAGATTCTTACATTGGAAGAAAGCGGCAATTTTTGTCATTTTGTCATCCAAGGCAATTTTTTTGCTTACACATTTTTCCTATCAATCTACGATTAGCCTACTAATTACCATCATATTGTTTTAATTCCAACCTTTGTCGTCAATTTTCATAATATTCATGCCAAGATTAAAAGATAATAGTTTCCATCATGAAACTTACGAACTTGCTTTTGACACTCATTATAGACTCGAATACTTTAACGATGCTTTTATGCTTTGTTATGTGTTTCTTTGGCATGGTTTCCTAAAAACCCGTTAAGAGAATTTTTTGGATCACTCATAAGAAAATAGTCTATTTGACTGGCCATCACAGTTGAATGAAACTTATGTTTTCGATATAGTAAAATTATTTCCTTATTGAGGCACATTCGAGCCACTCATGTTGCTATCAATTGTTTTTGTAGGCCAATCTAAGGTGCTAGTCCCTTATGCTCCTCATTTTGTGAACTCAGTTGATGCTTCTGTGGATGAATTGCACCATATGCTACTATTAGGAGTTTACTAGCACTACTTGATCTATAAGATATCTCCCTTGATATGAGTTATGTCGTATATTGCTATCGGGGAGTTTAGGACCGATACCGTTCAAGACAAAAGATAGACCTCCTTAAAAAATGAAGTTGCGGTCTCTCTCGGGGGAGTCGAATTCTCTAAGCTAAGAAGAAATGATGAAAATCCTAAAAGACGCATTATATGGAATACTTTCCAAATAGGATACTTATTTTAGGAAAAGTAATGAGATTTTATTTAATAGATTTTTAATATTTTAATAATTGTTTACCTAAATTAGACTAGTTTAAACCCTATATAAAGAGGGCTTATACGTTGTAATAGTTAGACTTTGATATTGAATAAACTTATATTTTCTCCCATTCTCTCCCCCTTCTTCTATTTCTCCTTTCATTCCTCTTTCAATCCCGTTATTATTCGATTGTGTTCTACGTCGGGTACATTTCAAAAAGAAATGTTTACCTAATTGAACATTGATTTCTACTCTCTTTTCTACCATTCTTTACTCCTTTTACATGTGTAAATATTACCCTTTATGCTTTATTTTTACAACTAAAATATACAAGATAACAATATTAACGGTTACCATAGCCCTTCACTCTGGAATGTATTTCTGTCATCAGTTGCATTTCAATCCAGAAATGGTGTGGCACAACCCTATAGCTTCTCAAACCAGGCAAACAACAGGATAACTATGTATATGCTTCTTTTTATGATTATTGAATAGAGAAGATAAATATTGTCGATAATCATTCACACTTGGGATGAGCAAAAATTCTGAGGTGGTTTACATTTTTCAACACAAAATACTACACATTGACCAAGAAGATTTGATTCTCACATGTAAGATTACTGGTGCAAACAATATTGGACTTTGGAAGCCAAAATTGAAGGTTCGAGTCCCAGGAAACAAAGAAATTTGTTTTGGGAATCTTTTGGCTTTCCTTACGAGTATTTGCTGTCCAAATTCAATCTTAAAATTAATTAATTAATAGTTTCCCATTTTAAATAGCAGAAATCTTTTAGCTCTAAAATCTTTGACATTTAACCTGGTCCTACTCTCATATAAGAAAATATTGAAACTCAATGATATATGTGCTTACGTAGGTACCAGATTCATGCACTAAAACCTCCACACATGAGCACAAGTGCACACATCCGTACTATTATCTTGTATTACAATTCCCACACTTGCAAATTTATCATTACGCCATTAAAATTTGATAAGGATATTATTGATCATGTATTCTTGTTATTATTTCATGTTGCATTACGAATGGGGTTCACAAAGATTATATTAAATTATCCGACATTTTTAACTTCAGTAATATTAAAAAGAACAACATACTTGCATGACTCCTTTACTGACAGGATATTAACTCCCCGTCTTCCAATAACACGGCCCATTTTGCCTGGGGGGACATCAAGAACTGAGAGGACTTCTTGTTCTGGAGCATTCTCATTAACAATCAGATCATCTGAAATTATTTAAAAAACTATACAATCAGCACCAGCTAAGGTGCAAGTTGCAACTTCAAAATGATGATTTAAATTAAATTTACATGAAGCACCTCTGCTATTCTGAAACAAGACAATGAGATAATTTGAGAACTAAAATGAATCACAGAGACATTATTCAATACTTACAATGCACCACTAAAACTAAAATGGCATCTGTAAAAACTGAATAATTAGGCCAAACTTGTTGAAACTAAAATCAGCAAAGGGAACATAAAGGCCATAAATGGGTTTCAATCAAATTAAAAGATGAAAACTATGATTTTTGCAACGTGCCAAAAGCAAACTGATTCACATCTCTTGAGCTATGGGGCTGGGATCTCAGCAACTGCAGCAAGGGAAAATTTTCACCAAACAAGATTCATTAAACTGCTTAACTTTACTTTTAAAAGAATTATATATAGGGTAAACTATGTCTTGCAGCAAGTTAGCTAAAGGGACTGGGGACCGGGGTACACGCGTAGAAGAGAACTGTCTCGCAACAAGGGACTAGGGTTTATCATATGTTTTACTTCGATGATAGGTAATTTGAGTTTCTTCAACGAGCTCCATTTTCAAATTATAAATTGATAATACATGCATTTATGTGCGTGTAAACACACATTAGTAGAACTACAAAGCATAAAACTAAATATTAGGGGGAGGAAAAGAATTGAAACCTGGAACTGGAGGCAAAGTCGCCCAATCTGCATAATTATTATCATTGATGCAAAAACATCTGCAGTAAAGCACACCACGGACTGCAAGATACCACAAGGATCTTTGGTTCAATTTCTCCACCATCTTATGATATACAAATAGAAGAAATCGAACATCATCTGCAGCTGCCCGGATCATTAGTTCTGACAATGGTCTATACTTCCAAAAGTTAGGATCCTAGAAATGAGTAGAAACTAGAAATCATCAAGACAGAGATGAGCAGCTATATCTCCAATATGTGCATTGTAGCAATGGATATCAACAAAGAAAAGGTGCAAGCACACCTAATATTAGGTTGAGTGTAAGTGGCTCTAAACCAAACTATAGTTACAAAATTCAATACACATATTTTCTCATGAAACCTGAATGAACCAAAGGACGGTAAAACCTAAGACACCAAAATTTTCAAAACAATGACAATCCATATACACAAACTCAGCATTTTAATGGGGGAATATAGATAGTTACCTCACCAGACATGCCTATGAGAAAGTAAGGATGGATAAATGGTACATTAGAAAAGATTCATGCACAACTAACTATTGTTTCGTGATGAACTCTCCAAAGATTCTCAATTTGATGCCATGAGGAAAACCTCTTGCTACAATTTTTTTTCATGTATGTTGCAAAGTAATTTGGCACAGATGCAAGTCACTTCATCCCGTGGGGGGAAAGAGTCGTCAAAATGGAATCTTGATAAGAAATATGGGCTAATTATATGACTATATTACATGAGCTACTCATCAACAATGACAAAATTCAGAGATTAAACCATAGAACTTTTATCTGAATATCAATAAGTAGTCACTTCAAAATATCATGAGAAGGAAACTAAACAACCTGCCTCATTAGAGTTCGAACTTCTTCCTTCTCAACATATGATATGCCTGTAAAAACATTTCAAAAAGTTAAATTTTAAGCATCAAGGTGACTCCTGACCCAATAGTCTAACTATACAGTGTTTAGAGACCTGTAGAGTAAAGGAGCATCCATTAAGGCTCAGGGGCATATAATGACAAACAAAAATGACCAAACTCACTTACATTGAAAAAAAAAAACCCCCCCACTACAGTAGAAAATTACTGTAAACAAACTACAGTATAAATTATAAACAGCTCAGCTTAGATATATTAACATTTTTCTTTTAGCAGCAACACATTTCATAAAATCTCAAGCCAATGATACGAAGTGCGCCTTGGTGTTGGTACAGTTGGCAACAGTTATATATGTGATATAATTTAAAGGGAACTAATTTTGTATCACATACCAAAGGTAAAAAATTATTAATATCGAAGAATACTATCATTCTGAGAGAAGTCCATTTAATGTAAAAATGACTTATTAGGGCGAGAATTCTAGTACACTGTCATACATTCAATAATTAATTACATTATAGTAAATTTAATCATTCTTTTATACATATTTAAATTAATAACCATACGTATTTTAGTGAAATATCAATAACATTGAGTCCTAGGGTGAACGTAAAAATTAAATTGAAATTGAGAGCATAATGTTGCTTTCTATTGCAATTCAAATTGTCCATACATGAATCTAGTCCTTCCAGATTCCAAAAAAGTGTTCTTTCTCTAATTAATTATGTTGAAGTAAAAGAATAAGAAGGCTTAACTATTGTGTTAGCTTCTCACACTATTTATAATAAAAATTTAGGAAACCCTAAGTATTACATAAAAGACTTAAATACCCTTTAACACTCCCCCTCAAGTTGGAGCATATATATTGTATGCTCCAAGCTTGTTACAAATGTACTTTATCCTTGAACCCCCCAACGGTTTAATAAATATATCAGCTAACTGATCAACTAAGTTCACATATTTAGTCTCAATCTGCTTCTGCAGCAATTTTTCGACAGTCAACTTCAATGTGCTTCGTTCTCTCATGGAAGACTGGGTTGGAAGCAATATGAAGTGCTGCTTGATTATCATATACCAGGTCCATCGGTGAAGTGTGTTCAAATCCAAGTTCCTCCAACAAATGTTTCAACCATGTTAACTCACAAGTGGTATGCGCCATTGCCCTGTATTCCGACTCTGCACTCGACCGCGCCACTACCGTCTACTTTTTACTTTTCCAAAGACAAGGTTACCACCAACAAACACACAATACCCAGTAATAGATTTCCTATCTAAGGATGATGCAGCCCAATCTGCATCCGTGTAGCCCTTTATTTGAGTATGTCCGAAATTTTGATATAGCAAACCACAACCAGGAGCACCTTTCATATATCGAAGAATACAAATCACTGCATCCCAGTGACAAATCATTTGACGATCTAAGAATTGACTGATAACACTAACAGCAAAGGAAATATCTGGTCTGGTAACTGTCAGGTAGTTCAACTTCCCAACTAATTGTCTATATTGAGCTGAATCTGTC